GCAAGGAGCAGCCGGTGGATTTGAACCACCAGTCTTTTCAGTTAGCAGTTCAAAATATAAGGCACCTCTCAAAAGGTGTACCTTTCAAAAATTCTCAGAGGGTCACTAACGACAGTGGTTTATTTTTTTATAAAAATAAAGTTCTAAAACAGCTATGAGATATCATCTCAACCCAGTCAGAATAGCAAAATTCAACAAAGCAGCAAACAACAAATACTGGCAAGGTTATGGAGAAACTGGAATCTTTATTCACTGTTGGTGGGAGTGTAAAATGGTGCAACCACTGTGGAAGGAACTATGGCACTTTCACAAAAAGCTGGAAATAGAAATACCATTTGACTCAGCAATTCCACTCCTGGGAATATATCCTAAAAAACTACAATCGCCACCCAAGCAGATATAGGTGCATCCATGTTTATTGCGGCTTTGTTCACAATAGCAAAGAGTTGGAAACAACTCAAGTGCCCATCAACAAACAAATGGACAAAGAAGCTATGGTATACTCACACAATGGAATACTACGTTGCATTGAAAAACAAGGAACTCATGAAATATTATACAAAATGGGTGACCCTGGAGGACATTATGCTGAGTGAAATATCTCTGTCACAAAAGGACAAATACTACATAGTACCACTGTTGTAAAATGGGACTGACATCAGGGATGGGGGGAACCTAAGAAAAGAGGGGATAAATAAAGTATACGGCATTGAAATAAATGATAAACATTGATTATTAATCCGAGTAAACTGAAATCCTTGACAACTTCAATCATTTTCCTGTTATCTTGAGGTTTATAAGGAATATATTATTAGGTATGATTTTCATTACAAGAGTCCAGAATAAGAGCTGCATAGTAAAGTGGACTAGGGAGGGGATTGTATAACAATGAAAGAATTTTTTTTTCCTTTTTAAAGAGAAAAGCAAACTGAGGGGGTGGGGTGGGCAGGGAGGAAAATGTGCAACAATGTATAAATGGAAATTCAAAGTCTGTAAACTTTCATTTAAATATCAACAATAAAAATATAAAATTCTGCTTAATCCCTAGGAAACTGACGGTTTAGAGATAAGGAGTTGCACTGCCAACCCAAAGGCTCGAGAAAAACCTTCCAGATGTGCCCACAGGAGAAAGATGGGCAATGTCCTCCTGTGAAATTCACTGCCTCTGACAATCCACTGGAGGGCCAGCTATGAGTTGGTTCTGACATGAAGATGCATTTGATTTGGTGTTTCCTGGACAAATTGTGTTCAGTTAAAATCCACTTTAAAAAAGGCAGAACAAAATGACTTCCATTAACAGTGAGAAACAGTAAATTGCATCCTTCCAGGTATACTGTCAATGAAGAAGTATTTTTAGGTAAATGTCCTCCCAGTTAGTAGAGTAGGGACCTTTGGTGGCCTAGTGGCAAGGACTTGTTCTGCCAACCTAAAGAAAGTGGTTCAAATCCACTAAGGGGTGGGGAAGAAAATGGGCAGTCTCCTCCCCTGAGACTTACTTATAATCCAGTGGAGGAGTTAGTCCTACTCAAAGGCACGTTAATAACAAACAGTTGATCAATGGTGTAACTGGGGAAGGTATTCCCTCCCCTTTTTAAGTCATATGCATCGTTTTAGCAGAGAAGATGGAGAAGATGGTAATGAGCAGGGGCCAGTCTTTTAAGATGAGACTTGGAGCCCAGAAAGGATTTGTTCCTTAAGGTCACACTATTTAAAGTGTCAGAGGTGGCATCTCAATTTTTAAGGCCTCTCTACACTTTTCCTTATGTTCAGAGATTCCCTAAAGGAAAGGGACAAAGAAAAGAGAAAATAAGGCATTTTTTTAAAAAAAAGAAAGAAAGAAAGAAAAAGGACGATTAGGAGAGTCAGGGGAATGTACAACCAAGTAGAGAAGATACAAGGAAAGAGGAGATGGAAATTCAAAGCCTCTGTAAATTTTTACTGAAATTAATAATAAATTTTTTTAAATTAAAAAAAAAGACAAGAGGAGATGTAACAAATAAGAAAACAACAAAAAACAGAGGCCAAAGCCTGGTGGTCTTGAAAGTTCACTTCAAACCCCCTTCCTGGCCCAGGCAGTCTTGGCTGGCACGTGAGGGACCAGGAGCAAGGCCTTGCGCGCCCCCTGCCGGAGAGACGAGACGCCACCACTAAATGGAAAACCCAATCCTTTGCCCAAGAGTGACTTCTACCTGCTAGAGACCCTACAAGACCCAGTAAATCAGTCCCAAACGCTTTATAGGTTGTAATCTTGCTGACAGCCACACCTTTCTGCCACCGAGGGGTTTGCTGCACCACAGCCGCTGGCTTTCTGGTTACCAAATGAACTCCCCATTCACTGATATTTTTGGGAAAATATCTTATGTACCGATGGCTGTTAGGACTGTTGTTAGAACCATCAAGTCGACTGCGACTCACCGAAACCCCTATAAACAGATCTCAGCCTTGCCCTGTCCTGTATCACCCTCACGACCTCTGTCCATTGTGGTCGTTCGTCACCGCTTCAAACCAGCTAGTGGAGGGCCTGCCTCTCTTTCACTGACCCCTACATCTCTGAAAGCTAGGGGCAGGAGGCTCTTAAAAACAAAGGTCCTGCCCTCTTTGGGACCAATGGAGCCTTTCAGGGGCGGGTTTGTGCGTGAGGTTTTAAAGCGCAACGAAGGCTGAGAATCCTACTCAGC